TGATCCACTATCTCCTCTTATAACTGTAAGAAGAGACCCATTAAAGATCTTCTGCTATATAAATACTGTTAAAAGAACTGGGATAACAATAAGAAAAAAACTTGGATCATGAGAGATTTGTTTTGTGTATTATTAAAGGAATAAATTTCTTTTCTTAAGAATTGTTGAATGTTTTCACACTTTTAATTTGTTTTTTCTCTTTAATCAGAGAGTCAACATGAGAAAGATGTAAAAAGAAGTTTTTGTTATTTTGGTGTTATTAATATTATTAATATTTTTAATTAATTTTTAAATTAACTTCTTAACTTTTATTAATTTCAAGCCCAAACAAGTATTGTATTTATAAGAAATTTTTCAATAAGAATTAATAATTCTAATTATTAATAAAATAATAATATTAAAAAGTGAGAAAAGAGAAATAAGAGAAAAAGTTTAGATTTAAATTACTAAATATAAATAATAATAAAAAGGAAAAATTTAAGAGATATTAATTTTGGTATAGATAATACAAATTAATAAATTTACTTGTAAGACCAAGTTATTTGATAAAATACTGAAATTGGTTGGGTCATGAATTGGACCTGACCTGGTTAGCGCACTAGTTGTTTTCATGCTTTCATTCTGTCCAATTCTTCTTGTTTAGTAATGCTTTACATTTGATATTTCCACCTGTAGCTTCAAAACGTTTATCTCCATGGTGAACTTGATATAATGATACATAGTCAGTTTTATTACAGTGTATTCTTTTATAGATCTATTTAGTTGAATAGAGATAACAATTTGAGCATTCTTAATTAGTAAATCTGTCTGCTGAATTCAAAAACGATTAATATGTTTTATATCTATACTGGAACGCCAGTAATTCACGGAATTGAAACAATGCATCTCGTAACAAACAATGTATTTTATCAATAAAAATAATGACAGGAGGTGAGATAATGACGATAGAGAACAAATCACTTATATTTTCAATTTTTCTCGACCAAATGAAACAAGTCATAAATTTTTTGTTCTAGTCAATTTAACGTTAGTATATTTTGGTTCAAGTGATATTGATGAATCTTGTGTAATCGAGATCACTTTTTGTCGTTATGAATCTAAATTATTTTCAACCTCGCTTTGCAGCGGCACATTGTTACAAAACGCGTCTTTTGATAACTGGCAAATGTCCAATAAGAAATATTTCGCAAGGAACTATAATTAAAGTCGTGGAAGGCCAAGAACCCATTATTGAACTTGAACAACAGCAAAGAAAATTAATGAAAGGTGCTATGGCACTAGTACTTAAAAGCAAGAAGGAGGAACCTGTGGACATTGAAGACGATAAAGAATTTATGTCATATTATGAACCAGAGATTCCGTTTCAAAAAGTCAAACCACCCAGAGACGTTAGAAGAAAACAACCAATAATCACCGAAGAGAACTCCAAACATGACTATCCTGAAATATTTAAACCAATCTTTGGCGTGAGGCATCCATTAATAAAATATTTTGAATCAATACGTCGTAATAGAATGGATCGATGGAGACAGCGAGCAATCATTGTGCAAGGTGTAAGATATATACGAGAATTAATTGAATTAGGGTATCCGATACGCTCGATTGGTGTTACTTCTGCTGCAGAACCTCCTTTCCCAACTACGGATAAAATTACTGGCGCTACTAAATATGTCTTTGATCATTTGTCACAATTTCCCGCCGAAAAATATTACATTACCGATCAGGAAATGACAAGAAAAATTCTTGGACAATGGGCATTAATGGGACAATGGGAAGTCTACGCGGAGGTTCCGTTTCCCGAAGTTAATTATCCTCGGAGGGTGAGAAAATTATTAATTTTAGATAAAATTGAAGATCCAATACTAGTAGGGCAGTTAATTAGAGCGGCCAAAGCATTAGGCTGGGATGGTGTATTCTTAAGCCCGGGCACCCCGGATGTTTATGATGATCGAGTGATGCGAGTATCCCGTTATAGCTCAGTCACATTTCCACATAGGCATTCCAATTGGATAGATGCCCATTCAATTATGACTGAAAATGAACTGCCAATGGTTGTCCTTGAAACTTTACCTAAAAGATTAATAGAATCTATTAAATCATCATCCAAGATTACCGGTAAAAAACGAAATCTATATTTCTGGAATAAAACGCATGGCTTACTGGAGAATGAGATTGCTTTTTCAAGTGATCGTATTGCTCTAATGATATCTGGTGACGTTACTCGCCAATTTCCAGAAGATCATATACGCGTTACAGTTCCAACTGAAAATTATATTTCACTAAATCCTTCATTGGCTGGCGTTATTCTTTTGAATGAATTCAATCGTCTCTTAAATGAAAAAAAAAACAATGTAATTACTAAACCAATGACGCAAACCTCAAGTGGAATCATCTCGTCAGAGTAATTTTTAATTAATTTATTAATTAAAGGTGGAATAGTCAAATTTAATTGATTGCTGTAATATTTATTGAATAAGAAATTAAATACGTTAAATAATTTAGATCAGATAATAAATGATCAAATGCTATAACTAAATGCTAAATGATTAAATAAAATTAAATGATTAAATAAATAATAAATTAAAGATTTTCTTTGATCTCATTCAGGGACAAACAATTAACTTTCAACCGACTTTGATAATCATCATGATTTAAATAAGCACCGGCCAAACGTCGATGCCCAACGAATGCTGTACGGCCATGTAACACACGCCAATTATCAAATATCACAGCTCTACCAGGAACCAACTGAACCAAAAATTCATTCGCAGAATCTTGCAACAACTTGTTCCACGCTCGCAACGCGTCGTAAAACTCTTCAACTTGATCCGGATTCAGATGCGACATTGTCGATCGATCGTCGTTATTATATCGTATTTGATATAATGCTCTGGTAACTGGATTATGATTTAGAATTGGGAATGAATGCGGCGTTGGTTGTATGCAAATATTTTCATCCCCGGCACAATGCGCAGGAATTCGAATTGTGGAAAGGGTTTTGTATGCACGTGGATTTTGTGATTTTAGCAGATTTGCCACGTGAAATCCATCAACGAATAATGATTCGCCGCCTTTGCCGTTGAATTCTAGTAGATGAAACATTTGGAGTCCTATAGGATCGGTAAAGTATGTTGTGTCTGTGTGTGCTTTTAGTGCTAATGTTGTATAGGCTGTGTCTCCGTGTTCTAAGCTAGGCGTAAAGTCATAGAATCCGCCTAAATTATATTTGTATATATTTGAATATATTTATATCTGTATTTATATATACACATACACACCATAATGAGTTTCACGAATAAAACAGATCCTTCGGGCTAACGCTTCAGTGTCTTTAGTGTTCACAGGAACATTACTCACAAAGGTTATTCCATATTGGTCCTAAATTATTGTATCACTTAAAAGATTCAAGTTTTACCAAACACGATAAATAAAAGAAACTTTTACATACAAGATTTTTAAGCATTTGCGTCAATCCTTCACGTGTATGCATAACCTGTTGTCATAATTATTAATTACCATTCTTGTAAACTTTCAACTGTAAAGCATCGATCCACTAAAAAGCACGAATTTCATACTTACATTCTCAAATGGTAGAATTGGCAAGAAATTCCGCATCATTTGGCTATTCCAGAATACTTGACTACCCAAAAAAACTTAATTCAATCTCTGTTAATTGGATACATTTTATACATTTATAACCACCCACCTAGTTAATTGGTTCTCTCGATTGATTATCGGTGGATCATATGAGTGTATTCGTAGCCAATTCCACTTGAAAAAACTCGAATGATTGTCATTTGACCCTATTCGAACAAAATTATAGTATCGTTTACACGTGTTTTTTGATCGTTATGTTTTTATTTGCACTTACACACAATGTTTAACCCATCCGAAGTTGCATTTACTGAAGATGCTTTGATATCTTTTGGGATCTACATGAGTTCGTAAGAGTAAGAAACATTAGAAAAAAAATAAAGAAAACTGTATTTATTTGTTCATTGATTACTAATTACCGTAAATGTATTTACTAAACGTTGTTTAGTTACTTGATGATAGCATTCCGGGCACCGACAATGATCACGTAGCCAGAATGGATGACTTGTAATTGAGAATAATTCGATTTTAATGATTTTTAGTCGTAGTGTTTTTTTCTCAAGATATCGACATACAATTTACTTGTAAGTTCGTTATTTTTCTCGCCATATGACGTCGTATTCGACCATTTCACGTGTATTTTATTATAAGAATCTGCTGCTACTATATGCACAATTGGAATTAAATTTTCTTCTGAAGAGGGGAGATTGTTTGATTTCGTGGTCGTAGTGATCTTCTATTCGTATAAAAGGAATAGCACCGTCACTGATAAGTTAAAAAATTCTTGTGGTAAAAAATCGAACATGACTCATACTTTAGATAATCCACTCGATAAATTGATTCGCGAATTTTGATTCTCGTAGACTGTTGTATTATTATTGAGTTTGCTAAAGCCTCCTCATCATCATATCAATTCGATTAATGTCACTATCGCAGTGAAGTAATTACATGCATGCAAACACACCTTGATAACAACCTACTAGTAGGTTCCTTTTCGTTACAAAGAACTGTGGGTTATTCTTGATCCGAGCATTACGTATGATCATTATCATCGATTTGAGAATATGATCGAAGACTTCAAGTGTATAGTTCTCCTTATTTGTAATGCAGATCCCATTATTAATGTCTGCATGTTTCAGAATTCATTATACGATGTGGATCCGTTATATACCGGGCCGTTTTGACTGTAAATGCGCATTTGTCATCTATCGATATTGCTATTACTAATCTGCCGTGTTTTAACATTAATAATACATGTATTTTATTATATTAAGTATCGCATATTTGTATGTAGGCACTAATTTGCTTTGCTTATACACGGAAAAAATATCGATACAATTTACATATCGATATCGATATAAAAAAAAAGTTATAAATAAGATCCAAAATAGCCAGTGTTTTCTCGCAAGGAATCAATAAAGAAAAATTGTAATCAATTCGCAGTGTTTAGTTACTAGACAATCTTATTAATTCAACAAAATGACTATTAAAATCACTGGCGCGCTCAAGTCAACATGTACTCAACGTGTTGTGACTGTTCTTCACGAATTAGGCCTCGAGTTTGAACTTGATCAACCAACAAACTTTGCGTCTTTGAAGTCTCCTGAATATCTTAGAGATAAACATCCTTTGTGAGTAATTCTTCACTTACAAATAATTAGTAGGTTGAATACAAAAAATACTAATCACAATCTAAATTTTCGATAATAGCGGAAGAATTCCAGTACTCAACGAAGATGGCTACCAAATCTTCGAATCACGAGCAATTATACGATACCTAGTCTCCAAACAAAAATCATCCCTCGCTCCAACAGACCCACAAAAACTCGGCATCCTCGAACAATTCCTCTCAATTGAATACTCGTATTTCAACCCCCCGTTCTCCAGCTTGGTTGACGAAAAAGTATTTAAACCATTGTTCGGTCGTGGTGACCCCGACCCCGTAAAAGTAGTAGAACTCACGAAAAAGGCAGACGACGTATTAGACGTCTACGAAAAACTGTTGGTCGGCAAAGATTACTTGACCGGCGAATATTCAATCGCGGATATTATCCATCTGCCATATCTTCACTATGCTATTCAGGTTGATTATGATTTGGGCGATAGGCCGAATGTTAAACGTTGGTGGAAGAATATTAGTGAGAAGCCTTCATGGAAAAAAGTAATAACTCAAGGGTAAACTCAATCATTAATTTACAATTGATTTATCGTATTTATATCTAGTTTAGCAAATAAGCATGTTTCTTCTAGACTCTAAATAAAGAAATACGATATCGTTACGTATATCATTGATAGTGGTTTCCATTCTCGATTTATTTTTCTTGGCAATTACTGTAATTGCCAGGTTGAATGACAAAATATTTTGATGATGTCGCACCAACCATTTACACAGAACACACGTTATTTACCTTACCAAAAAAATAGTTTGCGCCTCTTGAAAATTGTCCATAAAAATACATGATTCGAAATATCCTACATGATAATTTTTTGAAAATTGACGCGATTGAATTATTCAAAAATTAGTAAAATTCCGAATTCAAATTAAAAAAATACAAATATAAATATATATTGAATGATTTAACGACCCCAAACGACTTCTAGCAATAATAATAAATGTCTCAAGATTTCAATGTTGTGTTGCGTGTCGACGTTATTCAGGCTCAAGGGTTAGCTGCGAAAGATAGGAATGGATTGTCTGATCCTGTGAGCACACCTTTGTTACTTTTATTTTTGAATTTGAAGGAACGAATGAATGTTTTTATTTATTCTTTTGAATTCCAAAGAACAAATTACTATTGTTATATATAATATATCAATTTGTAAAATAGTATATCAATTTGTAAAATAATTATCAATTTGTAAAATTAAAAGAATAAATCGATCTCTTTAATAATCATCTAAAATTATTAGTATGTCGTAGTTACAATCGGCGATGTAACCTATCAAACACAAGTAATCAATAAAAACTTATCGCCACGCTGGGACGCTTCATTCGACACTAGTTTAAACTCGCAAAATCCTCCCAGCGATATTCTGTTCACGTGTTGGGATAAAGATGTATTTGGAAAGGATTTTTTGGGCGAGGTCAAGGTGCCGTTGCAACAACATTGGAAAGATAGTGAAATTGGATACAATGCTCCTGGTAATAAGGTATGCAGAGACCCCAAAAAACTCATTAATCCATTTTTGATGATGTTTGAATTTATTATCCTATAAAAGCCAAAATGGTATGCACTAGAAAATACTTCCCGACCCAAAGAAACCATTTCTGGTGAAATCTCAATCCGGATTGGATTAATCGATCCAGATAATAAATTTATAGAAGCCCAAGAGTTGGCTTCAATTTGGCAAAGACTTACTAAACTTGATATTTCTGAGCACGATCATCATCATTCTCACGACACTACGACACCTTCAAATGGGTCCATAGTGCCCAATGAAAATTACTATGGACATGGTAATAGACCAAGCTCTATTACAAGTTCATCAACCACATTTTCCTCGTCATCGGGAAATTCGAATACACTCGGATTAACGTATCTTGAATTGGTAAGAGCAGAAGATTTGCCACCGGAAAAAGCGGGTAATTAATTTAATATAACAAAAACAAAAATTAATTTGTTATTAATCAAGTCTTCGCTTCTTACCATGGTGCAGCTGTCGGTTCAAAATTTGATATGGATCCTTTTGTGATAATTTCATTTTCAAAACAAACTTTCCGTACACGAACAATTCAACACTGTCTTAACCCATCATGGAATGAAAAATTGTATTTCCTGGTGAAACAACACGAATCGAATTTCTTTATAAAATTTTCTGTCTATGACGAAGATAAAGTCACTTTCAACGATTTGATTGCGGATTGTCAATTCCCAATTCAAGCCTTAATCGCCGAAGCGAACAACAATCAACTACCAAGAACCATCAGTGAAGGTATGGTTGAGTATGTGATGCCACTCGAACTGAGAACCAAAACAAAGTACGATAATTTACCGAAACTTTGGATTCGAGGAAAATTTATTCCGCTTGAACATTTACGTCGTCAATTTTGGATTGCTTTATCCAAAACGTATGATTCGGATGAGAATGGAGTTTTGAATTTCATTGAAATCTCGACTATGCTTAGTAGTTTTGGGTCATTAACTGATAAATCAATCGAAGGGTTTTTTATGCGATACAACAAAGATCCAAGAACAGGCGAATTAACATTCGAAGAATTGTGCGAATGTTTGGAGCAACGATTATTGGAAGAAGAGTTTAATGTTGTATCAACTAACGGCGAAGAATCTCTAATTATTCTTACAGATTGTCCGTACTGTCATAAACCCGATCTCCAAAATTGTTCAGTTTCCGAGATTATTACACATCTTTCTGTTTGTGCTAGTACTAATTGGGATAATGTTAATAAGTTTATTGTCGGTGATTTTATTACTGAGTCTCAAGCGCAAAGAAAATGGGTGTCAAAGGTTATATCCAAAGTTGGATATGGAAGTTTCAGAGTCGGCGCTGTTAGTATTTATTTAATCTTTTCAATCTTAATTTGATTTTCACATACAATAATAATTAATATTAATATTTAATATCTTTATATCTTAAATACAAAAGAATAATGCTAATATTATAGTACAGGATCGTGTAACAGGACAACTCGTAGAAGAAAAAATGCCAACTTATATTCGATTAGGAATTCGTCTTTTATACAAGGGAAAACCAAATAAAGTTGAAATGAAATCAAGTGAGTCATCACACTTTTAGTTGGCAAAATTCTATTTGAATTTTCAACAAATTAATACATTTTTCTTTAATTAGCAAAACGTCTTTTGGAGACATTATCTATAAAACAAGGAAAGAAATACGACGCGCCCTCATCCGTTAATGACATCGCGTCCTTTATCGAATTTCATCAGTTGAATATCCACGAGATTCTCGATCCACTAGATTCCTTCAAGAGTTTCAATGAATTCTTTTATCGCAAATTGAAACCAAGTGCACGAGAACTGGATTCACCTAATGATTCATCTGTCCTTGTTAGTCCGGCCGATTGTCGAATGATGGCATTCTCAACAATTGACGAGGCGACAACTGTATGGATAAAAGGGCAAAATTTTTCGCTTGAAGGACTCTTAAGAAATCAAGACGCAGCTGCACAATTTCATGGTGGCAGTTTGGGTATTTTTCGATTGGCTCCACAAGATTATCATAGGTAATTATTAATATAACATATAACCTGCTTTAATTATATCTGGATAAACTGGATCCGGAAACCTGGATTTATTTTTTAATCCGGATCAAAGTAGTAACTCTAAGCACGATTTGTTTATTTGAGATTTCATTTCCCCGTGGACGGTTTACTCAGTGAACCACTTCCCATCAAAGGAGCGTACTACACCGTGAATCCGATGGCTATTCGTTCCGAGTAAGAATGCAGTTTTTTTTGTTTACACGGATCCCACTTTCTTTTTCCTATTTTTGTTGCTGTTGTTTTCTTTCTCACTGTTCGAAGGCTAAAAATTTTTTTGCTTTTTATTTTATTTATGATAGACTCGATGTATATGGCGAAAACAAACGTGTAGTGTCATACATCGAATCTCCGCACTTTGGAAGAGTTGCATATGTTTCTATTGGTGCAATGATGGTTGGATCGATTGAATTTACAAGGTAAAAAAATCACTGGTGGTGATAATATGCATGGCACATGCTAGATACTAAATTATGAATGGACTTTATGATGATATATAGTACACCGCACAGTCATGTTAAGCGACTTGAAGAACATGGATACTTTGCATTCGGTAATCATATATATTATTTGTGCTATCTTTAATACTGTTTAATAATCATATCTATTTGATAATCATATCTATTTGCTAATCATATCTACTGCAAATTAACAATAGGTGGGAGTACAGTAATTCTTTTATTCCAGAAAGGCAAGATGGAATGGGATCAAGACATAGTGATAAATTCCCAACAAGCTCTAGAAACTTTGGTATGTATTTATGTACTTGATAAAACACGAATTAATTAATTAATGATATGATGTCTGTTAACTAATTATTTAGGTTCGTGTTGGCATGCGTGTTGGGCGAGCCACTAGCTATTAAGATATTGGCGTTTTTTCTGTATTCATTCATTTAGTTATTCATTGATATTTATCATTATTTAGAATGTTTATTTAACTATCTACTTATTTATATGTGTAGCTTTTTATTGATATTTATCAGTATTTATTTTGTATAAAGAAGTGTGTATTTTGTTTTTGCATAGTATAAATAGTCTAACACATCAAATACTGCGCCATTGCTTAAATTTTGATATGCATTATTCAGATTATTTTTATTATAAAAATATATTATTTTGTGATTTATAAATTCTTTGCAATTCAAAATATTGAATGATTTTAAATAGCTTGTATTATATTATTATATTTATTCAAAATGAATTTGTTATAAATTTTTATAATAAAAGAAATAATATTGCTACCGTTTCTAGTTCTTATGTATGAAAATATTTAGAAATGGTTAACAGCAACTGTATTCACAGCAGATTTTAAATAAGAGAGATATAAATGATGAAAGTGGATGATTGACAATAATTAATTAACAAGAATACGAGTATAAGATGAATATTTGAATGTGTTTGAACAATAGAACAATACTAAAACTAAATATACTCTTATTAATCCAAGTTAGAAAGTGTATTGACAAGATAAAAGACAATATGATGACAAAATGAAAACAACAAAAATAAACAAAGATAAAACAAAAGAAAACAAAAGAAAAATAAAAGAAAATAAAACACAAACAAACAAAAATAAAGTAAACAAAAGAAACAAACAAGAAAAATGAAAAAGACAAGAACAAAGTTAAAACCAGGATATAATCTTCTTAGTTTATT